CCACCATAAGTGTTCCCACCATGGCGCCTGTACTCCTACGAAATTTGGACGCTCTAGGTCCATGGGGACAGGAGTTATGAATTTTCGCCCAAACCCCGCCCCTTGTGGGCGGAGTCTGGTTCTGCCACCCACCATAAGTGTTCCCACCATGGCGCCTGTACTCCTACGAAATTTGGACACTCTAGGTCCATGGGAGCCGGAGTTACAAATTTTCGTATATAAATGTAAGAAGGGGCGTGAGCTTCGGGGCCCGCTCCGCCCATTGTGGGGGGGGGGGGCTTCCGCTGACGTCATTTGTGCTGGAGACACCTTCGACAATGCTTCTTCCACGTAAATTTTTCCTGCTCTTTTGACCTTCTCCAACCCGAGTTATAAATGTTTTCATAAAGCACTGCATTTTTGGAGAACGCCCTGCCCGTCAGGGGTGGGTCTCCCTTGTTTAAGCCGAGATATGTGCATTTGAAGTTTGAGGCGCAAAAACGCAAGAACTTTCTTCACGACCTAATAATATCTTTATTGCCTCACCACTCTTTATAGCACTCGCCACCTCATAAACAATGCCCTGAACCGTTGATACGCCACAGTGGACTTCTTCGGCTAGAGCTGAAAATGTGTAGCCGTGACCGACGTACCTTAAATTGAGAGAATCAAAAACTTTTGCGCATTCGCTCTGCTGCCCTCGATTACCTCAGGAAAATAAAAAGCCGGTGGCGAGGGCTAATTGGGGAAGCATGTGTCAGATGATGACTGAGCACCGGGCCAATTCTATCAAGTAGGCGTTCAAACTCCTCCGGCAGAAGCCTCGTATAGTGTGTGAAGTGCTGAAGACCAAACGCCTCAAAATACTCGTCGAACGTAAGCATTCTGCCACCGAGAAACGGTAGATGCTCCCTCCGCACATACTCCCTGCGTCGTCTGTTTTCCTCGAGTACACGATCCAAATCATATAACGCATCCAACATCTCTTGAGCATCCTCGTTATCCATCTAAATCACTCTCTGTTACCTCCTCTATCAATGTATTATTACATGAAACGGATATATGGACGAGTACATGACAAACTATGATGAGTGGGAATGATTTAAATAACTATCTTGGAGCGATTCAAGACGATCTCACAAAAGGTCATTGAAAATTCTACCCTTCATTCAGGTATTCAAGACGAGCAAGTCCTCCTCATGCGCTCTTACGATGTCTCCATGTGAAGCAATCTCATGGTCTTTTTATTACCATATTCTACGTATTTCCACATTCTATTTATCTCCATATTTTGTGCATTTGTGTATCCCCATATTCAATGCATTGGTGTTCCACCATATTCTATGTACATTCATAGAATATGTTTCTCAATAATGTTAAGATCTTGTACCTATAAACAGTGTTAATAATGTATTGTGTATGAAAAAAGTATGGAAAGAATGTATCAGGCATATAGGCCAATAGCGAGCAAAGTCATTTCTACTCATTCTCAGAAAGAGGAGAAAAACTTTATTGGTTCGCGAAACCACAAGAATAAGCATCCAGTGGAGAAAGGCCAATTGGAATGAACATAAAATTCATTTGGTATGAATACCACATTTAAAAATGGAATAGCCCATTAAACAACAGCAAACATATTTAAATTTATTAAAAAACGTTTCATATCCAGAATGCCGGGAAACCTCTTCGCCGAAATCAAAATGTCACCGTCAGTCTCCGGTTTGGTTTCAGGAAAACCTTAACATTAGCCTTCAATTTTATGGACAAGGTACCATGAACATGATCAATCAAGATCTGACACCAACCCCACCCAGTCTCGATCGCCCACGATTCCAACCCCAATTCAACATGATCACGTAACTAGTCTTCCAACCAGGAACTTCACATGTGCAAACTGCAAAAATCTGTGTAATTCTAACATACGAAAGACGTACGTCAATAACTCAGTTCCTGACTTTTTGATAAAATCTATATTGGATCAAGAACCACGATTAAGAAATAAAAGTGCAACCTGTGAACCATTGATGCTATAGTAACGTATAAAACAAATAAAAGCTCACAATCACCATTCCTGTCTTCGTCGTGCTTGTATTGTAGGGTTTCCTTCGCTAAGTTACTGTCTCCTGCAATCGTGTTCTTATAGTCTTGAAATGACGCAATAGTCGCGACTCTGATAGCGTGAGATAGCGCAACAATATAAAAATGGATGCAAACGAGGGGCCGAAAACAAAAAGAGAAAGATTGGAATTATTTGTGATTCAGAAAATCAGCTTTGAAAGCAATCTATTCTTCGTCCAGTTTAGAAAAGCACTTAATTAGACTATGCATCCGAAATCTTCATCATAGTTATTGATCATTAACATTAACACGAACAAACACAAACGAAAAAACATGCAAAAGAAAGAGAAACACAAAACTAAACAGATCCAGTAGTCATCCTCCTATAATCAATACCGGCCCGCTTGGGCGCGACGCGACCGCGTCGACCGGTCCTCTGACTCCCTCCCCCTAACACTCTACCCTCGGCCGGC